ATGTGCACTTTTAGTCTTCAGGCTAAGCACTTCCAGGCCCCGGGAGGACAGCTTGTGGGGCAGGACTGCCAGACCCCGTACCATCCCCACAGACTGGTCTGGAAGTTGTCTAATTTGTCAACATCTCTCTTTAAATGTGACAGCCAGAAATGGACACAATACTACAGATGTGGTTAATTAGAGCAGGGTTACTATTAATTTCTGTGACATATGGGCACTATACTCTTATCGGAATCTAAATTTGATTTTTTTTTTTTTTTGCAGCCACATCATGCTGCTAGTTCATAGTAACGTTTTTGCTCAAAAATCACCGCCATGTAAAGTCCCCTCCTTCCTCACACTTCAATGAATTATGATGCATTTATAAGTATAAAATATCTCTCTTACATAGCATTGCAGACTATTTAAACCGTGTTAATTCTACATTCTGTTATCTACTTACAACAGGTATCCCTTTTTAAGTCATCTATGGATTTTAAAGCAAGCACTCTAGAATTTTATCAGTCATTCATTAAATTTTGAAGAAGAGGAGAAGCAAGGCAAAGGCGTATGATCCTTCACCAGGGACCGCTCGAACCCAGACTCAACAATCCACACACCTGGCAGGTGCTGCTTCAGCCGGCTGCGCGCTCACAAAGCAATTCTGCTAGTCTGCACTCCCTGTCACACGCACAAGTATCCCAAAGCCTTGACAAATGCTTTGTTGAAACCAAAGTTCATTTATCTTTAAAAACGAAGTGTAAAATATCTACACATACTAAAACTATAGTTACGTAAAAATATTAGATGCACATGCATATCAGAAAGCTAAGGAGCATCAGTATAAAAGTTCTAATATCAGACTGTGGAGATCGTCTTTTATTCGATACTGTCTTTGCTACAGTTACATTGTTTTAAAAACTGAAGATATCAGGAATTTTGCTCAGAGAGCATTCTGCTTGGCGGCAGTTTGCATGCAACAGCTTTAAAAGCACTGAGGCTCTATCTGATTCTACCAACCTGAAAACACAAATCAGAAAAATAGTCATTTGAAAAGACTTGTTGATCTTTAGAAACACCAGCTCCTTTTTTACTTTTTAATTTTGAATTGCTGTTTTTGGCTTAATATTTATTTCTGAAAATCAAGGAGATAGCAGACTGGACCCTGAAGTTTAGAAAAAGACTCGGTGTTTTTGCATCTGTGTTGTCTGTCATGTCTGTCTGTCTCTCTCTCTCTCTGCTCATTGGAAAGGATGGAAAGACAGACAAAATCTTCATGTTAATATTTCTGTGAAGCTCCTGACTGAAACAGAGCTTCAGCCCAAGAATCTCTAACCCACAAATAACATCCGTATCATCTATTCACTGAGAGCCCCTTTTAACACTCAGATTAGAATCAGCAATAGAATTTGCACCGGTGTTTAGAAGTGAGGTAAGGGTGACTAAAGAAAGGGGGTCTTATAGAGTAAGTGTGGTCAGTCAGTAAAAAAGGAGAAGGAACAATGTGACTATATGGGGGGAAAATGTGATCTATAAGTGCTGCACTTATTAGAATCTCAAAAAATTAGAATCTTTGGGAAATTTTGACATGTCAGGGTTTCTTCACTGTTTCAGCATTTTGGTTAAAGCTGGTTTTCATCAGTGGAAAACCAGCATTAGAAACTGGATACATGTCATCTTTCTCTCTTTGAGGTTGTCTTTCACCGGTATTTTTTTATTAAAGACAAGTGAAAATGCCACTTTGCTTAGAAATACAATTTGTCAGCCCTACTAGAATTAAAGTTAAATATATGAGGTAAATCAACAGCTTTTAGATTTATGGCAAACTCTTATAATAAATGGATAAAATGATCAAATACTAAGTCCAGTTAATATGTGACCACTGAAAATTTTACTTTGCTTAGAAATAAACTTTCCCACCATATTAAATGTTAAGCCAAATGTATGTGGTAAATCAGCAGGTTCATAGATCCATAGCAAATTGTCACTTATAATAGGTGAAATGTCCAACTAGAAAGTCCAGTTATTATTTGATAAATGAAAATTCCACTTTGTTTTGAAATACAATTTTCCCACCATCGGAGAAATTAAGCTAAATACATTAAGTAAATCAACAGCTTCACAAATGGCAAAATGTCATAAAATACGTAAAATGTCCAAATAGAATGTCTAGTTATTATTTGACAGGTGAAAATCCCACTTCATTTTGAAATACAATTTTCCAATAAACTAGAAGTTAAATATAGGTGGTAAACCAATAGCTTCATAGATCTGCAGCAAATTCTCATTAACATGGATTAAATAGCCTAAATACAATGCCCAGTTATTACTTGATAAAATAGATAATGCACATTAGCAACTCTTTTTTTGCCTTGAATCTAATTTTATGCAAAATGGGTAAGAAAGAGTCGACACCGGGTGCAAATACCAAAAAAAAAAAATCCAAAATTCACTTATGACTCTAAATGTCCAAAAAGTGTTTAAAACTCTTTATTAATATTTTTGTGGGTAGTTTTTAATGTTGTTTTGTTGCTTTAGATAACACAAAAATGTTATTTAAGGTATTGTCTAGTAACCTTGTATTTTGTTTTTATTTTTAACATTTTTTTGTTATAGATAGGAAAGGTTAATCAAAACTAATTTACTGATGTTTATTTTTCACTGAAAATTCTATTTCTAAGGCAAAGTAAAAATTATTTCATATGTAGAGAAGTAACACGAGGAAATACACCAAAATGATAACTGTATGCTAGACTAGTGAGATCAGAGAAAATTCTCAGTTCTTTGGTTACAAATCTTTATGTACTAATGTTCATTTACAATTTTAATTAGAAAAAGTAATTAATATTATTTCCTTTTTAAAAGGTCTCTGAAAATGTAATTGCTTGATAGGAGAGTTAAGTCTCCTTGGAAAGAAAATAATGGAGAAAAATTAATTTGATCCCATTTTTAATGGTAGAAATTATACATAGGCAACTCTCTGAAAATATATATGTTAGGTACATAGATATGTATAGAGAAAGTCTGAAAAAGTGAACTCCATAATGTTTACTGGGATTATCTTAGAATGAAGAAGTTACAGGTGATCTTGATTTTATTCTTTATTTTTTTTCTGGTTTTCTGGAGTATTTTTACCTGACTCTTGTACACCGAATAGAAATTACTTTTATTATGACAAAAATAATACTAATGCTTTTTTTAAAAAAAGAAACAATAGTGGTTAACATTTTCAAATAAACAAATCAGTTGGTTCAAAGTTTTAAAAGTCTTGGGATAATTTTTAAACTTGAATTTTCCCTACCATCTCTACTGATTTTTAATATCACTTTTTAGAAAAGACTATCTATTAGTTAACAACTAAGAGATGTAACTTTTCTGGATTAAAATAAACCTAAGAATTTGACAGTTCGGTGGTCATCACAGCAGTACTCTAGCAAATAAAAGAAATCCCGGAATTATTCTATCTTGCAGAAAAGAGTGGACATCCTAAAGATTAAAAGACACTGCTAAAAAGTATAATTGAGTTCCCCCCACCCCCAGTTCCTCAAAAAATATCTTTCATTGTTGGAAATCCACACTTCATTCATTCATAGGGTCAACATTTTATTTCTGATTAAAAAAAGTAAAATCTCAGTAAATCTGCTACAATTTTGTTTATTCCTAGAAAGGCTCGCTTTAAGTAAGATCCCTGCCACCCTGTCATCTATAATGGATCAAATTCTTATTTATCCTCTCCGTATAAAAGAATCTGTAGCAATGACACTGAAGTATGCTGAATTTTAGCCTTCAAATACAAAAGTGTCTTCATCTATTTAAGGAACGCTACTCAGCTGTAGACGGTTTGTTTTCCCATTTTAACTTATTTTACTCAGATTATCAACAGATTGTTTTCTCAGCGCCTAACAGTCTGGGGCGCTTAAATGGAAATCCGCGCTAAGGTTATTTTTTTTTTAAAGCATCCTTCTTCATCAGTATTTTAATTGTCTTGTAACTTACTGCAATTTTCTCAAACATAAAAAATATATATTTAAATATAAATATATATACGTTTATACGTAGAGATACACACACATATTTGCGGCCGAATCTCGGCAACGAGTTTGAAAGGATTAACAAGAGGTTGCCGTGATTAAATGTATTCTCTCTAGAAGATTTATAAAAATGTAACGTTGCAGGGAAAGCTAGTTCTCTGCGAAAACCTCGCAATCACCACCAAAAGGCCATGGCTGCGAGCTTCTGAAGCCCGCCAAGCACACTGGAGGCATCCACAGCTGTTTTTAATTGTTTTTGCTTTCTCGAAATAGTGCGCTTGGTGGGGCAAACAGTGCTGTTTGCAGCGTCTCTGGCCCCCCAGGCCGGGGTTAACCCTGACCTGAATGCCTGCTTAGTTCCCGCATTTCAGGACTCCGCGTCCCTGCTCCTTAAAACCTAAGAAAAACGAGATATCCGCCGCCAAGAAATGCGCTTAGTAAGAGGGGGGAATTAGATGTTTCAAATACATTTTTTTGTTCTCTCCGGATCGGATTCAAGAAAAGAAAAAAAAAAAGGTGTGTTTGTGTAGAGGGTTACGCAGTTTGACACCCATTTCCTAAGGCTCGCCTCTGGGCCGCAGAGCCCCGTTCGAAGGGTAACGAGCCCCCCAGAAAAAAAAATAGGCAACGACCCCCAGCTCTTTGCTGCAGGGATCAGGAGAGGTCCACCATCGAAGATGGTGATGGGGGTGGGAGTGGGGGGCACAGGCCTGGGAATGGAAATTGAAGATGAAATTTCTGAGCTCTCTGGGCAGGGAGGGGCCCGCGGGGGCGCGGAGAAAAGAGAAGGCAAGGGGTCAAACCTGGGAAACGACGCACAAGGCCGGAGAGTGGGGTGCGGGCGTCCTGGAGGAGGGGTGCAGTGGGAATCCAGGCAGCAAGAGGGGCTGACACCCAGAAAATGCAGCCGGGTACCCCAAACCTGGGCGGGGGATGGGGAGGTGGAGGCCTGTTAGCCTCAATACCTCCCGTCGCGCGCGGGCCACTAACCTGTCAGCAAGAAGGTGCCAGTGGTCGAGGGGCTCATCCTGCGTGTCCCCCAACCCTGTCCAGTCCAAGCACAAGGGTCGCCTAGCTCCCACCACCAGGGCAATTGCATCTCGGCCTGGCTAGGCCGGCAGTTCTCGATTCTCCCCTCCCCTCCCTTTCTTCTTTCCTACCAGCTTGGCCAGATCAGCATCAGCATTCCGCACCCCCCTCCTTAATCCCGTACTCCCTCTAGCGGCAGGCGAGGGTAGCGAGGCCATCGCCCCCACCCCATCCCCCCCGCCCCCACACCCCCTCCGCCCCCTAACCGCAGAGCACGCTGGGATTTGGCGCCCCCCTCCTCAGTTCAGACTATATAAGGCTCCCAGTCGGTGCTCTGGGTACACGCGCTTCAACTTCGGTTGGTGTGTGTCGAAGAAACCTGACTGCGACCTGGGAGAACATCGGAGAAGGTCCACTGGAGAGGGTCCACCGAGCCTCGCGAAAGGTCCGCTGAGCGGGCTCGCAACCGGAGCCACTCCGGGCTGCGGAGCACCCAGCGGAGCCCACGCCTGGCACAGGTGTGGGACCCCATCCTTCCTGTCTTCGCAGAGGAGTCCTCGCGTGGTGAGTATGCGGTGAGGACGGTTTTTGTTTTTGGTTTTTTTGGTTTTTCTTTTTTTAAGATCACATTCAATCCCTGTTCTTATCAGGAGCTGCAAGAGATGGAGTAGCACCCTGAACGTCTCCATGCAAACCTTGTCACGCCTTCACGGCTGCACCCCAAATCGGAGTGGGGAAACCAAGCCTTCAGGGCTTTGATTTACAGGACGTAAGTCCAGATACGGGCTATGGACAGATATGAGCTGCGGACACACATGAGCTGCAGACGGACATGAACTACAGTCCAATTTGGAATTTGCTCTTCAAATGCGCTACAAAGTGGTTTGCGCTACAAACTAATTGGCGCCTCTCGCACTACATACTGATAAGCGCTTCAATTGCGCTACAGAGTGATGGGCGCTTCAGTGCGCTACGAACGAGTAGGACTGCGGCGATATATAAGCTGCAGACTGATTTGCGCTTTAAAATTTGAGCTACAAAATCTGAGCTGCAGGAGATTAGCACTACAAAAATGGTATGATTGCACTATAACTGCTTCATTCCGCTACCTGGCACGGGAACTGCAGAGGTACATGAGCTGCAGAACAATTTATAACCTCAAATGTGCTACAAAGTAATAACAGATGCAGAGTTATCCAAACTGCGCTATTGGACGCTACAAAGAAACGAGCTGTAGAGGGATATGAGCTGCAGAGTAAAATTACTCTGTCTTCTTAGAGGGGGACTCCACCCTTTGTCTCTAACATACCTTTTTTTTGGAATGGCTCCCACTACGTTTTTCTGCAGGACGGTTCTCTGCATGCTGGTGATGGTAGACAAAATGGAGCCCCGGGCAAAAATTAGTGTTTAATATTCTGCCCACACCATTCCTGCTATAGCAATGGAGTGGAGGGGCCCTAACTTGAGAGTAAAAGAGAATATTTCGTGGTGGCAGAGCGGGCTGCCTTTCCTAGTTGCACTTGATTGAAGTGGCGGTGTAGTTGTAGTGGTGGCGCGAATCAGCGTCCAGCAACAGTTTGTGGAAACTGTTGGTTTGCATGCATGGGGCGGGGGGTGGGGGGGGATTGGATCTGGAGGGATTGCTCTTGTTGCATGAAATGAATCTGGCTGTTGGAGGCTGGTAGGAGGGGCTTGAGGAGGGGGGATCCTGGGAGAGGCGTGCAGCCAGTCTCAGACCTGCCCCGCCCATTCTAGCACGCCTTCTCTGCAGTATCTGCTCAGAGCGGGCTTAGCGCCTCCCAGCGCCTCCTTCAAGCGCGCCTCCTCTGCAGCGCGCCTTCCCAGAACGCGCCTTCCTAGAGCGCGCCTTCTAGACCCTGCCTTCCCAGACACAGACTCGCTCTGGCCCGCCTCCTCCCAGGCGGCTTGCCCAGACGCTGCATCTCTCTGGGCCCGCATCCTCCGAGGCCTCTCGCCCAGGCCCCGCCTCTCTCTGAGCCCGCCTGTCTCTGAGCCTGGCTCTCTGAGGCTGCTCCCCGAGACCGCACCCGTCCAAAGCTTGGCCCCTCCCTGAGCCCGCCTCCTCTGAGGTGGCTCCCCAAGGCCACGCCTGTCCAAAGCTTGGCCCCGCCCCGAGCCAGCCTTCTCTGAGTTGGCCTACGGCCCCGCCTCTCTCCGAGCTCCTTGCGCCTGCGCAGTGTGAACTGCCCCCCCCCCCCGCATCAAGCCCAGGTTTGTGCCCGCGCGCGCTTTCGCTACCTGAGACTGGCTGCACAGTCCCGCCCTCCTGCGGTTTCCCTGTGCACCAGTTTTGCGTTTTGTCCACAAGTGTCTGATAAATATAAGAATAATAAACAATTAACAATAGTAATAATTATACCTGGAATTAATTAGCACTTTCTATAAGTGCTTTGCATGTTACATAGCATAATCCCACAATTTAAAATCCTGATAGTGAGTTGTAAAGGATGCATCTAAACTGGTATGACTAGCAACTAAAGGCAATCCGGCTAATTTTTTTTTTTACTACAAATGAAAAATAAAATGTTTTAAATACTTTAACATTTAAGGTTGGGGGTGTGTGTGTAACACTACTGGACCTTTATGGTGGTACCTATTGGAATCCCATGCCGTGGTGGATACAAAGTAAGGAACAACTTGAACTGTTTCACGGGAGTTTTAAATGGCTTATTGGTACTGCTGGCTTGGCCTCTGAGCAAGGATGAGGTGTTTATCTGTGTGCCTATGAAGCTAGATTTTTTCCCTTGGAACTCTAGGGTATTAGCCCTGGCTAACTTGCCTACATGTTTATTAATAGTGCCTGGTATAAGGTAGGCACTCATTAAATATGTGTTAAGTAACCAGAGTAAATTGTTTTTTTTGGTGTTTTACTTGGTGTCCGAGGTTTTTTTCTGGTGTCTTCCTCCTGGCTCTTTACCTTTATGCATTGCTTGCCTTATCTCTCACATTTGACAGGGTCTTTTTTTAAAAAAGTATGCATTTTTAAACTATTTTAATGTAAGCTGTAATTATAATACAAAACAACTAAATTTAAAATACTCCAAATAATTAACATTAAAAAAATAAAAACCAAAAAAGCTAATTATTTACATTTGGGGCAAGTGGATTATTTAATGGTACGTAACTGTCATATTTAAAATTTTTGTAGTGTAACATAAAGTGGTTACATTTACAAAATATAAATTGAGAGGTTTAACTGACATTATTAAACACCTTTATAAAACAAATTCATACTTTACTGCCAGTGAGATGTACCATGTTTACATTTCCAAATGAAAAAATTTAAAAACATGGTTTTATATATTATGAGCCAAATCTTTGTTGTGGGGGGCTATTGGAGGCTATGGCTCCCTCAAATCTGTCATAGCCCACTCACCCCCCGCAAGTATACAAATGTGCTTATAATAATTACAGCTTTTGGTAAGTCCCCAGGCCTCTTTTACCCACCTTGGTACCCTGACCACCCCCCCTCGGATATCCTGTACCTGCATTTTAAAGAAGTTCAAAACAGTGGTAAGAACATGTGCATATTAATGAATTTGCATTTTACAAATAGTGTACATAGTACTCAAAAAGAAATTTGAACATTTGAAAATATAAAACAATTAAGAATTGCTTAATAAAGTATCATTTCCTAATGGAATGTTTAATGTACAGTGGTTTTTGGCTACTATTGCTCTTTGGTGTGTTTGGGGAATAGAAATTTTTAGAGGTCACCCTGATGAGCCAATGATTAAATAAATGTATGTATTTAATTCCTAAATAGACTAACACTGAACTCTTTCTTTTTCCTTATATAGAATTGGCATCTGTCCCAAGTGACTTAGCTTTATGCTGGGTGTCCTTACAGATTTTAGCAAAGGGGCCTCTTAACCCCCACCTCCTGAGTCCAGCCCCTACTAAGAGGGGCATGTAAGGATCTATAGTTCTGTAATTTCAAACAGAGTCACAAAGCTCCTGTTGCCTTGTTAACCTGTGCTCCAGTTGCTGTTAAAAATATTTAAAAACTACTTACGTTGAGAGTTAACTTTCCTGTCCACTACTCAATCACTTTTAATGGTTAAAGTACTGTGAGCTGGACATTTATCTCTTTTTAGAATTTAGAGTCCGATTCCAAAATTACAGTTCCTGGAGGTGGGGGCCAGAGGCCTGATATTAGTAAAGGTCAGGTTCAAACTGCTGACCTTGCAGGCCAAATAAGGCCCTGAATTTGACCAGCGCTGGATTAAAAAAATTTTAAAGAATTAAAAGAATTTAATGTATTTTGGAAGAGGGGGCATGCATCCCCAAGTTGCATAGTTGCAGCCCCTCCCAGTTGTCTAAATTTCAGTGTCTTCTCTTTTATATCACTTCCTGTCTACCGAAAGCATTTGAATTTTAAACCCCTATTGATCTTCTGTTCCCCTAAACAATTCAGTGATTATTTGCTAATTTCTTAATGTGTTGTTATTTCTAACCTATCACTGTGTTTTGCAGATGGTTAAAACTGTCAGACCTGAGCCTCAATAAAGCCCACCCCACTGACTGTGATTGACGTGCAGGTTAACCTTCCTGACCTGGGTCAGGTTGCACCAGGCCTTTTCAGAAGTCTTATGTGTTTTCAAAGAATTAATGCTTAGGTGACAGAAATGGCACCTGGGTCACCTGACCTGTGCTAATTAAGTTTTTAATGGGACAGTAACACTTTCTATTCATTACATTTAATAAATAAAAACTGTGTTATTCTGTGACTATATTCTAGGTGTCACCAGTAAAGTTGTTTTTAAGGAATTGGAACTGAAACTAAATGTCAAACTATGTGTGTTAATTTGCATCTTCTAATTTTCTAAACTTGAGTATTTTATCTTCAATGAATGTCAATTATTCATTGTTTTTGTAGCCTAATTTTTAAAGTGATTGAACAGAAAGTTTAAAGTATTAATATGACATGGTAAATCTATACCTTAAGGATTCTGCTTGCTGTATTGCCCCTCCTTAGGGAGGCCACACCAACATCACAGGGCATAGGGAAAATAGCTGTGTGTGTTGCAACTGGGGCAAGGGAGGGTCCTAAAGGACTAGGAGGGGTCTTAGGAAGAAAGGAGGAAGGGGTATTTCTCCATCGCCAGAAACAGAGCTGTAGTTTACAGGTATATTTGATTGCTACCACCTTTTTTTTTTAATGTGTATTTTCCTATTATTTGAAAATAGTAGCTATTTTTCACCTAACTTCTCCGAATAATACATGTTTATCTTTTTTGTTTTATTTTATGTAATTAATTTGGTATCCATTTTTACCTTTATGGGTCAGAGAAGAACAGAACTGCCGAGTTAAAATGTAGTGAATAGGCAGTCTGCCTGCTTTATACATACTGTTTCTAAACTTTTGAGCACTTTCCTAGAGTTTTCCCAAAAAAGAGAATATGATGCTCATTAAAAAAGTCATTGAAAAGTTAAAGTAAATTACTGTAAAAACATTTATTTAAACCTGTATTCAGGTAGTATTAATTGTATGTGATTTATTATCACTGTACCCATAATTAGGACACTTAATCTCTTCTCTTCCATATTCCCAGCCCCATACCACTCACCCCTAGGAGCTTATCTTTATTCTACTATAAATTACAAATTTTCAGGTGGGGCTACACTGACACATCTCATTTATAAAGCAGGGATTGCAAACTAGTGACCTGCAGGTCAAACGAGACCCTGGATTTGTTTGACTAACACAGTATTAAAATATCTGTAGGTGAGAAATACATGCCCAAGTTGCCATAGTTGCAGCCCCTCCCTGTTTCAATCCTAACCTCTTTACACATAAATTTATTTTTCTGTTTTCTTATTAATAACTTTATTAATATCAGCTAATAATTATTGAAAACCCACTGTGTGCTTTCTTTTCTACTTAATAACTATTAATAACAGCCAACAGTTATTGAAAACACACTATGTCCTTTATCTGCATTATTTAAATAGATCCTTATTATAAGTTTTGAGATGTACTATTATTGGGCTTCTGCCAGTGTCCCATTTTATATATATATATATATATATATATATATATATATATATATAGCCCAGCTTCTCCTAGGAGATTGCAACTACTTTTTGTAGATTGCCTACATGGTAGGTAGGAAAACTGATATACACATGTTGCTGCTCAGTGCCATTTCTGTCCCATAGAGAATTCTCTCTGGCAAATCAAATTATAGTCAGAAAAGTAGCTGAGACAGTCCTGCGGGTTTTGTGGCATTTTTTTGTTTTGTTTTGTTTTGTTTTGCTCCCTGTTGGCTGGAGTATTATGTGTTATTCAGGTAACAATTATCATTTCGGCTTTGTTTTTTGTGATTGATTTGGCAGCCATCTTTACCTTGAAAGTTTCTTGCCCAGCTCCCTGGATTCAAAACTACTTGTTTGGAGAGTCTCAGCATTCTTTTATAGTCAGTAGAGTTGAGCAGTGTACTGTTGATACAGTTATTGTTGAATCATAATGAACAGGTGACTTTTGAGAAGGTAAACTCATTTGGACATCAAAAAGAGGGTGCTTTTTATTATCTATTGTCTCCTTGTAGGAGTTTTGTTTATTAACTATTATATAAGCAAGTAAAGAGATACTTTAAATACCTGAGTTTTAGTAGATACTTTAAATGCTAAAATCTTCTTTGTATTGTGCTGCTTTGACATGTTGAATTATGCTTTTATCCTCATTTACAGAAACAAAAAGCTTTTGAAAACAAAAAGAAGAAAGGGTGGAAGAGGAGGCCAGGATCCAGGCCTCCATCCCAACAGCATTGAAGCTACACCTGGGAGGTCCCCTCCCACACCAGCTCTCACCCTGGGGCCCGACTGCCCACCTCCTCCTCCTCCTCCTCCCCCCAACGACCCCTCCTCCCCACCGAGCTGCTGTGAGTCAGACCAGTACATCCCCACCCTGGCCGAACGCGGGCGGGAGGATCTCTCTGAAGAGATCAACAACCTTAGAGAGAAGGTCATGAGGCAGTCCGAGGAGAACAACAACCTGCAGAACCAGGTGCAGAAGCTCACAGAGGAGAACTCAAACCTTCGTGAGCAAGTGGAGCCCACCCCTCAGGATGAGGAGGATGACCTCGAACTCCATGGCGCTGCGGCCGCTGCGGCCCCACCCCCTCCCGAGGAGGAAGAGTGCCCAGAAGATCTTCCCGAGAAGTTCGATGGCAACCCAGACATGCTGGCTCCTTTCATGTCCCAGTGCCAGCTCTTCATGGAGAAGAGCACCAGAGATTTCTCAGCTGATCGCGTCCGCGTCTGCTTCGTGACAAGCATGATGACTGGCCGTGCCGCCCGCTGGGCATCCGCGAAGCTGGAGCGAGCCCATTACCTGATGCACAACTATCCAGCCTTCATGACCGAGATGAAGCATGTCTTTGAAGACCCCCAGAGGCGAGAGGCAGCCAAACGCAAGATCAGACGTCTGCGCCAAGGCATGGGGTCAGTCATTGATTATTCCAATGCTTTCCAGATGATTGCCCAGGACCTGGACTGGAATGAGCCGGCGCTGATTGACCAGTACCATGAGGGTCTCAGCGACCACATTCAGGCTGAGCTCTCGCGTGTCGAAGTCGCCAAGACACTGTCCGCGCTGATCGGCCAGTGCATCCACATCGAGAGAAGGCTGGCCAGGGCGGCCGCGACCCGCAAGCCGCGCTCCCCGCCGCGGGCGCTGGTGCTACCTCGCATCTCCAACCACCACCAGGTGGACCCCACCGAGCCCGTGGGAGGTGCGCGCATGCGCCTGAGCCAGGAAGAAAAAGAAAGACGCAGAAAGCTGAACCTCTGTCTCTACTGCGGAAATGGAGGTCACTACGCCGACAACTGTCCTGCCAAGGCCTCAAAGGCTTCGCCGGCGGGAAACTCCCCGGCCCCGCTGTAGAGGGACCTTCAGCGACCGGGCCGGAAATAATAAGGTCCCCACCAGATGATGCTTCATCTCACTTTCAAGTGATGCTCCAGATTCATCTTCCGGGCAGACACACCCTGTTCGTCCGAGCCATGATTGACTCTGGTGCCTCTGGCAACTTCATTGATCACGAATATGTTGCCCAGAATGCAATTCCTCTAAGGATCAAGGACTGGCCAATACTTGTGGAAGCGATTGATGGACGTCCCATAGCATCGGGCCCCGTTGTCCACGAAACCCATGACCTGGTTGTTGACTTGGGAGAACACCGTGAAGTGCTGTCCTTTGATGTGACTCAGTCTCCATTCTTCCCGGTCGTCCTGGGGGTGCGCTGGCTGAGCACACACGATCCCAACATCACCTGGAGCACTCGGTCGATCGTCTTTGATTCTGAATACTGCCGATACCACTGCCGGATGTATTCTCCAATTCCACCCATTCTCCCACCACCAGCACAGCCGTCCTTTTACTACCCAGTTGACGGATACAGAGTTTACCAGCCAGTGAGGTATTACTATGTCCAGAATGTGTATACTCCAGTTGATGAAAACGTCTACCCCGATCACCGCCTGGTAGACCCCGCCATCGAAATGATACCTGGAGCACACAGCATTCCCAGCGGACATGTGTACTCTCTGTCCGAACCTGAAATGGCAGCTCTGCGTGATTTCGTGGCCAGACATGTGAAAGATGGGCTGATCACGCCAACAATCGCACCTAACGGAGCCCAGGTGCTCCAGGTGAAAAGAGGGTGGAAGCTGCAGGTTTCTTACGACTGCCGAGCTCCCAACAGTTTCACCATCCAGAACCAGTATCCTCGACTCTCGATTCCAAATCTGGATGACCAAGCTCACCTGGCGGCGTACGCTGAATACATACCTCAGATCCCTGGCTACCCCACGTACCCTGCGTATGGCACGTACCCGACCTACCCGGTCGGATTCGCCTGGTACCCAGTGGGACGGGATGGACATGGACGCCCGCTCTATGTCCCTGTGATGATCACCTGGAATCCTCATTGGTACCGCCAGCCTCCGGTACCCCAGTACCCGCCGCCGCAGCCGCCGCCGCCCCCGCCGCCGCCGCCGCCGCCGCCGTCCTACAGTCCCATGTAAATACTGTCATGTCCTTCGGGATCTCTGCCCTCCAGATGTTTTCCTGTGCAGCTTCTCAGTCAGTGACTGTGTGCCCAGCTGGGCTGCTGTATCCTCAGGCCAGCCTGAGGTGTGGTCCTCGGAAACGGCTGCAGGTCAGGGCCACCCCGCACTGGCACACACCCTGAAAGCACCCAACGACCGCCGCCATTTTCTGGGAGCGACCGAAATTGGACTAACAAATTCTCTCTCAGTTTTCCACCTTAACTGCCAATCTAAAATTCATAACAAGTTTACTTCCCAGTAAATCTTAGAAGTCTGGAGTAATATTTACAGAGAAGCTGATGCAAACGCAGGAGATGCTGTTTTCTGTATGGAGGGGGAGACAAGGAGGAGGAGAACATGACTTTTCTTGCAGTTTCGGTACTCACAGCGCTGGAGGACCGACGCCTTATTAATAAGGAAGCCACAGTTGGTGCAGTGTGAAACGGCTTCCGTGATCTTTTTGCTGCACCCTTAGAAACTTCCCCATCTTCAAACTTTTCTTTCATGGTTCTGTTTGTTCTCAAGGAGCAGCAGCCCGGCAGGTTCTCTCAGGAGCAGGCAAAGTCCCTGCAACGGATACACCTCAGGCTTGAGAAGGAAGCACCCTTTCAGACAGACTCTTGCATGTTGAGTGTGCCTTCACATCCTGGTGCGAATCACGTGTACCCAAGAACTCTGGTTTTGTTACAACTCCTTACCATCAGGTCAGCAGTGGCTTCCACAAAATGTTAAACCTGGTAACCAGAAACTGTTGGTGGCTCCAAGTGTACTAGATGTTTGTGAAACCTGTCAATCATGAGGGCTAACAAGTAGCAAATCAATCACTGGAAGCCTTGGGAGCATCTATCCACATCTCTGCCTCCTTATGCACCTGGGCATTTCATCATCCGACCCCTCACTAAACTGTAGCATCAGGATGCTGAGGGAAGGGAAATGGTTTTAGCACCCACACTCTTATACCTGGAAGGGGTGTCTTTGAAGAAGAGAAGTTGGGGCACTGGATACAGTCTTGGAAGATACGGACTTCAGTGAGCTTCAAATCCAGCTGCCAATGAATGAAAGGCCTCAGAAAGCAACTCAAATGACTCAGACTGAAAGCAACAGACAACACAAGTGTTGTCCTCAGTCCAGTGACATCATCTGGTGTCTTCTGGATGCTTTGTGCTAACCCGGGACTGCCTGACTTCCTTTAGCCTGGTCCCTTGCTACTACCTTGAACTGTTTGTCTAACCTTTCTTTCTGTTTAATTCTTTGCTACTGCCGTTAACTCTGCTGCAGGATTTGTGTCATCTTTCCTGCCTGGTTGCTGAGACTCCATTTTCCTGCCACGCGCAGAGAAGAAAGAAGCAGGCTTCAAGGAGCATGTGTTTCAACACAAAATCTCCAATTGCCAAAACACAGTTTAAGCAGTAGAAACCAACATGGTATATATTTTAAATTGCCTATCAGGGAGAGGAGTCTTAACGGTGAAGTTTCATTTTTCCTGAACATCATCCTTCACATCCTCACTATCATTCACCCTTATTCTTGCATGTTTAAATACTTTAATGTTTTAGCTCTAGCTTAGTGGTGTCCTTTAATACTGTTTTAAAGTGGTGACTGCTCAAAAATTATTTCCATTGAATTACAAAGTACTATCCAATTCTTATTGTGTTAGAGTTAAGCTAATTAAAATTGGTAAGTAATGTAGTATAAAATATTTCTTTACTGTGAACTTCTCTTACAAACACTGTGAATGAGAGGCTCCTCAGAACTGGAGTTTTGTATAATAGTTCATCCTGTTCATCTTCAGTCTTCTCTTTTAACATCATATATAAGTTCAATTTTATCAGTTAGGCCTTTAGAAGTCACACAACAAATATGCACATTCAAAGAAGATACCTGATTGGCTATTTAACCCAAAACAACATTTTTTTTTTCTTTTTCAATGGAATCAGAAAATTTGTCAGTCACTCATGTGTTTTAGAGTACGTGATTATTCTTTAAATGGTGCATTTGTGCTTCTGGACTATTTTGAAGCGTCATTTCAGTTTACCTCAGATACTGATCCATCCTCCATATATTTGAATTCAAGTTGTGTTGTGTCAAATTTACAGTTGTCAATTGATCTTCAAGCTGCAGGAGGCCTAGAAGTAGGTCATTGTCTGCAGCCGCAGCATGTGCACACGGACATTTGCCATCACTGCAAGCAAGTCTGGAGATGCTGGCTGGCGACAACAGTCAGGGGGAGTTCGGTGGTGTGGGTTAACAACTCGCGGAGGAAGTCCCTGACACACAAGTGGCTGTTTAGTAAAGCTTGTGAAAAATTTTTGGCAGTGTGTACAATGCCCTATTGCTATATATACTATCTATACATGTAGGTGTTAAGGATAAGTAATCTCAAATTTATTGTTTTATATCAGAATTTTATTATGTTCCCTTTCAATTGATTTGTTGCTATTGATCAAATTTATGTTAATTGGATACTTTAAATTTTTTTGGCATTTTCCAACTGAAATGCCTTTTTTCATAAGAAAGGAAAGAACAAAGTAATTAAATCTAAAGAAGTTACAAAGGGAGCGGAATAAAAACATAAAGGAGATAAAAAAATCAATACCAGAATTATTAAACAAAGCCAATAGTCAACCCTGTGAAACAAATTGGCAAAATTGATTGACTTTTGGCACAAATTTGCAGTGTTAATTTAAAAATCAAGGAAGAAGTTATGAGCTCCCATTTCTTTTTTTAGGCAAACTTGGAGAGAACTAGCTAATGTCATCATGCTAGGATACTGAAGAAGTTTACATACATCTCTGAAGGGTCGATTTAGTTTGAGCAATGAGGTATTTGTATTAGATGCTGAAAAATGAATTAGTTTGATTAAATCATGTGAGGTAGAAGAGTGTACTAGCAGGTGCATAAAATAAGAAGGGTACATCAATATTATGCAGTCTGGATTTCTGTTTAAGTTTGCAGGTACCTCTTAGACTCCTGAATTGATCCAGTTGTCATCCACCACAGACATCTAACATCAGATTGAATTTCGTGATTGGCAACAGAGAATACTGCTGGAAAAGATCTGGGCAGAAATGGAGAACCATCAGCAGAAATGAAAAGCTGGGTGGGAACTACACAACATTTTCATCTAAAGAAAGTGCACATCTTGTGGGGCTGAGAGTTCTTTGTTGCTTAAGATTGTAGAATGATATCGAATTGGTCTGTGGAAAATTGCATTGTTTTTATTTCTTTATTAATCAGTTTAAGTAATAGGGGATATAGATCATCATAAGTAATTTTAGGGTGGGAGGGATTATTAAGTAATCTTTAATGGGTGGGATTAAACAGCATGATTATATATTAGATATCTCTAAGTAGACATGTATGCTTAGTTGTGATCATTTACCTTGTGATTGCTACCCTTAAAATTTTTAATCAAACTTGGAGGGAACTGCAGGGAGATGAACCTGTTTAAGGTGACTTGAACATGGATAAAACTTTTGTTGGATAAAGTCCAAAGGTGATTGGATAGATCATTTAATGTAACTTGAACATGGATAAAACCTTACTTGGATAAAGTCCAAAGGTGACTGGATAGATCATTTAATAAAGGCTCTTTGCCCTGGGTATTAACTCTAGGGATCATATTGTGAGCAAAGACTTTAGAGAGTTACTGAGTGGATAGATACACTTTGAGAAATTGTTGCTGAAGTGACATTGATAATGATGAATGGTGATGAATATTCATGGAACTTCTATGAAAATGATGAATAAGAAATGAAAATGATGAATGAGAAACGTTGCTCCCATCAGTGGCCCTCCTCTTTCCCCCTGCCTCTTCTCCTTACCCCTGCCTCTTCTACCTATATCTCTCCCCTTCTGCATTATTATTGCTGTATTCTCATTATATTTCTCTCAAATTACTAATATTGCATTCATGTTATAATAAATTCAATTAATAAAGATTTAGTGGTTAAGTGCAAATTGTGTCCTGATCTTTTGAGCGTCCACCACGATCAAGAGAACAGAATGGGGGAGTAGACAAGATGGGGGAGTTGGAGTTGGGACGTGCAGAGGAGAGGGAGTGGACAGGGTGGGAAATTTGAGGGGTGGGGGAGTTAACAGAGTAGGGAGTAGTGGGGAAGGGGGAAGGAATATGGAGGAATGAGGAGGGTGGTACAGTAAGGAAAGAGTCCAGAGGACGGGGTAGGGGCTGGGAAGAGGGTGTGGAGTGTGGAGTTGGGGGTAAATTTGGAAATGGGGGGAGTGGACTAAAGAATACATTCATCAAGCAAGCCAGTATCAATTCTCCATAATACTCCAGGAAATCAACTAAATTATTGCAGCTGCAAAACTTGTGTAAGATAGTCACAATTAATAGTGACTATTGATATTATATAAAAAAATAAAGCTGCAAAGCTTGAATACAAAATAAAGCCACACAATATATTCTATTCACCTACATAAAATTTATTACCAATTTTACTTGGAATACTTGAGATTTATTAACTGAAAATCAGGAAAACATTAGGACAAAAAGGAAGACAGCAAATGAAGTCAAGTAGTCATGTGTGGGAAATTAACAAAGATGTTTTTAATACAATTAACACATCAGAGTGATTGTGAAAGTAATCTGAATAAAACTGACAAATGAGGTTTGGGAGGCATACATCCTATCAGATTTTCAAAACATGACATTAGAGTTGTAAAATAATAGGTTGCATGTAGAAAACCTGAACAAAATTAATAGTGGTAATCAGTTCAATACATACAAATTGAACCATTAGGCTGTACATCTTAAACTTACACAGTGATACATGTCAATTAGGTCCCACTAAAACAGGAACCCCGCCCCCCCCCGAGGTTGCCAGCCCATTTCCACCCCAACCCAACCCCACAAAAAAGCCAAACAAAAAACCCTGAAAAGGGGACTCCTAATGGTGTGTCAGTTTTGCAGGGTTGCTGGGTTCGTATGACACGGTGGCTACATAAACGGATTTATTGAGGATACATGGTGTATGGTGCTAAATGGAAAGATTTGGAGTAATAGGAAAACAACTAAAAACTCCCTGGAGCAGGGCGCTCTGAATCGGTGTCCACCCAACCCACAGTTCACAGACTTCCATGGAGGGCGGTGTGGTGGGAGGGGCTGGAGAAGCTGGGAGGGGCGCGCAATCAAACGCCTCTCAAATGCCTGCTTGGCAAGTTATTTATTTAAACCGTGGGCTGTAAAAGCTAGTAATCAAATCACTCTGAAAGGAAATTGAAATATATTCATCCCCGTTTTTTATACCTAGTGTCCTCCCCATCCTGACCCCCCACTCCTCCCCATAAATTACATTGTTAAACAAAACTTCAGGGAAACAATAAAAGTTGCTGTGGCTCAGGACTGTATTACGCGGCTAGTCCAGAACATGAAACTCAACTATATAAAATAATAGTGATATTTGTTGAGACCCATACCAGTTTTACAAAAAAAAGTGGCTTCCCAAAGGGATATCAACAAGTCCATTTATAGATGCAGAAATCACTTAAAGAACCTCCTTTTATCCAGTGTAGTCCATGCCAGTCATTACCAAAACAATTGTTTAAAATGAGGACCACACTATATTAACTTAAAACACATAAATGTACATATATTTGTCAATCTTGAAAGAGGCTTGTTTCACTGATTGGAGCTCTGAGTCACTGTTCTTGAATAAATTATATCAGTAACACAAAATAAGTCACACGGCAATGGGAAAATACAGAACTTTTAAAAACACATTAAAGCAATTAAATATTAGCACGGGAGAGAATCACTTTTGATCCTTACCACAAAAAATATGTGAATGAATTCCGGATAAATCAAGAACTACAAGAAAGAAGAGCTTAACGATGGGGAGGGTAAACAGAGTATTCAGGGAAAAATAATAGCAATCAAAACCAAGAAAAATGGTTTTGAATTCATAATGAAGGTGCACAAAAAGAATGAGGAAATATTTGAGGCATACCTATAAAATATGTGTGAACGTACTTAGTACCCAAGCATCTAGTATTTTCCCAGAGAAATTAAATACCCAACCCCCACCCTTTATCCCCTTTCTGGCTTCTTTGAATGTATGTAGGGAGAAATCTGGATGGATAAATAAGAAATAAGAAATAAATAACTAGCTGGATGGCTAGATGACAGATAGATGGATGGATAGATAGATAAATCAATAAATGTGTGTGTTCAATTGCTGTCTTTAATGTGCCAGAGAGTAAGTAAATATCCAATCCCACGCCCTTTATGCTTTTTCTGGCTTCTTTGAATATATGTAGAGATAAATCTGTATGGATAATTAATTAAGTGAGTGAACAAATAAATGGATAGATGGATGGACGAACAGATGGGTGAACAGATAGGTAAATGAATAAATGTGTATGCATGTGTTAAATAATTTGATTTCTTCTAATGTGCTGGACACTAGATTAAAGGTTGGGGCACACAATGCTGGGCACAGACCTTACACTGGTATACCTAATGCAGTTGAAGGAGGAGCACCCAATGATTCTCCAGCCAGGTATCCCAGCTTTCTAGTCCAAATGCCCAAGTCATTTAGGAAGAAACATTATTACATCATCACTGAGTGCAGGAAAAGAATCTTAATTTTTGGCATTTGAGTTTTTTCTAGAATACATTTGAGTTCTTGAATGTCTATTTTTATTAGTGTTTGAGAATTCAAAAGGATCAACAAGAGAAAGAGAGACTAGATGGTTCTTTCCTCCCAAATTAACCTCCAAAGGTTGACACTTTTAGCATACTGTAAAGCTCCCTTGTTCTATTCCCAGATAATCCCTAGAGATAGTTGACACATTACATTAGGAATCCTGTTTCCTGGTAACTCAAAATAATTCATAAAATGACATTTGACTCAAGACAATGTTCCTAAAGAGAGAGCAAGTAAACCTCTGGAAAATCATTAATTACTGTCTTGTGTCTGGTCTTATAGTCCTTCCACAAGCAAATCACTGAATTAAAATTATCACCTGCCTAACTTGTACCATTGGCTAGTTCTTCTCAGAAGTCCACGTCACAAGTCAAGAGAGAAATAGTTAGGTGTTGTATCCTGACACAACGTCTCCTGAAAATTCATTATAAATGAAATTCTTTTTAAAAAATAATAAAAACATATTCTTCCTATTTTTAAGAGTTTTCATTATTATTTATATCTCATTTACATGAATCTGATGTTAGAATATGTCTAGTAAAGTACTTTACGACAATATTCTATCTTCTTTTGCCTAAATTGATTTCAAACCTATGTATTGCTCATTTTTATAACTTTGAGTCATCTGAGTATCACCCCAAATTTTATCACTGACTGCACTTCTTTAGATTAATTGCAGTAGGGGGATGGTATTTTACTAGCTTTAGGACCACAAAATTGGTATATCAAATTACCCTGTCAGCCCAACACTGAAATAGTGCCCCATCCTGAGAACTAGACGTAAGCCTTGTTACTAAGTATTAACATCCAGTGTTGGGTTTGGGAGAGTGTTCGCTAATCATTTCTCTTTTGAACCTACTTGAGAAGACACACAGGAAGTTGGATGTGAACTAAAGTGTGGTTCTTTTCTGTTTTAAATTATTTTTTTAAATTGAGATATAATTGACATTAATTTCAGGTATACAGCATAATGATTGTATATATACATTAATGTATATATGATCACAGATCTAATTAACATCCATCACCATTCATACTTATAAAATTTTTTTCTTGTGATGACAGCTTTTAAGGTTGACTTACAAATTTTTAAGTGTAGAACGCAATACTATAAACTATAGACACCATGCTGTGCATTACATCTGCAAGGAGTTATTTACCTTATAACTGGAAGTCTGTACCTTGACCACTTCCACCCATTTAGTCCACTACCTTCCACCCATGCCCTCATCTTTACTAACCACCAATCTCTTCTCTGTTCCTAAGAGTCCTTTATTTTCTCTCTTTTTTAAGATTCCACATGTCAGTGAAATCATATGGTATCTTTTTCTGTCTGACTCGTCTCAGCGTAATATCCTCAAGATCCATCCATGTTGTCACAAGTGGCAAGATTTCCTTCTTTTATATGGCTGAATAATATTTCATTACACATATATACACCATGTTTTCCTTTATCCATTCATCCATTAATTGACATGCTGTTTCCATGTCTTAGCTATTATAAATAATGCTACAATGAACACGCGTGTGCAGATATCTTTTTGAATTAGTGTTGTTTCCTTTGGATAAATATCCAGAAGTGGAATTGTTGAATCATATGGTAATTCTATTTTTAACTTTTTGAGGAACCTCCATACTGTTTTCCATAATGGCTGCGCCATTTCACATCCCCACTAACAGTGCACATG